ACTAACACTTATTGTGCCCATTATTTTAACTGTTCTCTGTAACATGTTGTCACTTTATTCAATATCTTTGGTTCAACAGAAAATTCTTTAATTTTAAATCCGCATTCTCCACGAGCAGTAAGCAGACCTGGATATTGCCATCATCCAGCTGTTACTGGAGAACAATTCTCTCCTACAAAATAAATCTAGCTGTAGACGCTGAGATTTTTATGATAACAACAGCTGTACAGCCACTGGTTCATAAACTCTTGGTTATTCCATCTTATTGCCTGTCTTGAGAAAAATAGTACAAATTGCAAAGCTACTATTACTTTTTGTTAGTATGGTTGTGCAACGTCCTAATTAAAAAAAAATTTTTGTTCAATTTTTAAGTTTTTATTTTTAATCTATTATACAGTCTTAGGTATAGTCTTAATTTTAAATAAAATTGCAATAACTAATGGTAAACTACAAACAGTTGATAAATGTAAACACATGACACTCTTTTCAGTAGAGAAGCCATAGATATATTTACTAGACTTGGAGATTTGATCATTACAAACCCAAATTTATCCGAAATTGTGGCAAACTGGGTGATTGTACAAATTCACAATTCCTAAACTGCAATTTGGACTGATCAAAAAACAAACAACTTGATCAATGAATGAGCTTGTTTGTTTGATTCATCATATCAAATTCTGTCGGTGAGCCGAAAAAAGAGAAGATTAAGGGGAAAAGAAGATGATTGATAGCTAGGAGACAGCCACTAAAAGTTGATTTTATTCACAGATCAAGTGATCATTTTTTGTACCCTTTTGGTTTGTCTGATTTGTTTTCTCAAATCTTTTTCGTTTAGCGAAATTCAGAGGAACCAAACCGCCATCTGGCTTAAGTTTGGCTGTCCCAAAAATGTTCTTTTTTTCGGGCAAAGTTGTTCAGACTAAATTATGTTTGATCACTGAAGATGGGGCACCAGTGGTAAAATTTTCCCATCCAAATCTACAATTCTGAAACTTCTCTAGCTTTGAAATGATAGAAAATTTAAAGGATATTAAATTTATACAGAACCTTCCAATCTACAATATATTTTAAAACGTTTTTTGTTCCCAAAAATGACAAAGTTCTAACTACTGTTACTAGGGGAATCTCTTTTAGAGAATTACAACAGTCAAATGTGTGATGAGATAAAAAAAAAAGCTTAAATAAATACATAAGTTCAAACATGCAAAATGTGAAAAATAAATTGTCGATAAAAGAGTAACCAAAATTATAAATAGTGCAAAGATTGCAACAATAAAGGACTTAATGCATGTAAACTCTAATTTACCCTTTCTAATTAGAATCTGCTGTAGGCATTTACCTGTACAGTATTGAAGAGGAAATAAAAAATAATTTAAATAGCACAATCAGATTCCCTGGCAACAGGAATATGTGCCTATAACCTTTAGAAAAGTATGTTCCTTTTGATGAAACTCTGCTGCTCTGTGGGAAGGCTAATATTAATTTTCTTCCCACTGTGTGACCCAAGTAATTGTGATACTCATTGTCATGATGTCACATTTTTGAATACTAATTTTGCAAAGCCATAGGTGTTAAAATAACTACATATGACCTCTACTATGATATGGGATGTTGGAGATTGGAAATTTCACTATTTGAACTCTCCAGGAAGACAATGAACTGATTTTGTATAAGAACAAGAATATTGTACCAGCACCGAATTAAAATGATTAAAACAGAGAGCAACTATAATTTTAATTTGTAGTTAAGATGTTTTTAGATTTTTTTTTTGTCTTGTGTGCTTTATAGGTAAGTGATATACATGTTTTATAGTGTGTATTTAAGATATGATATATGTATTTAAAGGGTCACTTTTTTCCATAGCGCACATTGACTGTTCCAAGAGTAGCTTTAACTGAAGTACTTTGCCAAAAATTGCTGTAGCTATGAAACAGCCTTTCGAACTATACATAAGGCAGACAGACTTCTTACAAGGTTATTTACTAAAGTGAGAATTCAAAGTGAATTTAAAATGTAAGTCCAGTGTAGTAGAACTGAAAACCACAGCTGACATAGATTTTGTTCAGTTTTGGCTACTTTGATCTTAAATATAAAATGCACTTTTAATTCACCTTGAATTCTCATTTTAGTGAATAGCCTTTTTTATACTTTTGCATACGCTTTTCAAATTATTTAATATGTTTGAATAATTCTTTTAAATTTTTTTCTTTTTCCAAAATATTAAAAAAATCATGTACAAAAACATATCAATATATGAAAAAAAAAGCTTGTCTAAAAATATTAAAACAAACAAGGCCTATGTTGATCAATACAAAAACCAGGGACCAGATGGTCTCATCTCTGATTATTGAAAATGACTTTTACTTCTGCTCACTCCATATCTTCATGATCTTAATAAAAAAAAATGTCATTAGAGTCCTTACTGTCAGATGTAAGGTAATGGGAATTAAAGTTCTTCCCAAAACCAGAACTACTGTCCTCATACAGAATAATCACACTTCTCAATGTATGGTACCAGACTACAGATGTCAGTACAGCTTTCTTCATATTTAGTCAACCATCACTACTTATAATGGTCAAGTATTCCTCAATTTAGGTGAAGAGTGTTACTAAACCTGAGGATTTCTGAATAATGGCATACTCTAAGTCTCTCCCATTTCTTTTACAGAGGGATTGGAGTGTTTTCTACCCACCTAATGCTTTTAAATTTTAACTGGAGCCATTGACAATATTATTTGCAGTTGAAGTATTTAATTTTTTTATATTAAATCCTACATTTTTCTATAACTGCTAGATGCTCCTAGACCTGACATATTACTTACAATTAACTAGAATGAAACTGAAATCCCCCCAACAAAAACTAAAACCAAAAGTATAACACTCTCTCTTGGGCAAAATCTTATTTGGGGTAACATTATTTCCCTCCCACACAAAGGCACAGAGCACCTTAAAGGGAAACTGTCACCACTAACATGGCCATTTTCTCCTTTCAGAGGTGAGTGTTACACTTCTGTAACAAACACGTCCAGCCTGCCTGAGCTACACCTTTGCTGTTTGCAGATTTGCCCTGCTTGGCCCTGTTGGTTTAACCCTGCAATTGTAATTATTGCAGCTATTGAGAAACTGCAATAATCATCTTGCAGGGTTAGCTTCACCTACCAGACAGCCACTAGAGGCGCTTCCGGGAGGTTAGGTAACTTTTTTGGTCGTCATACTATGCATGAGGATATCCAGAGGCAGCTAAAATCCCATAGGAAAGCTTTGAATCAATGGAGTTAACTTCATGCGATTGTGGTGCTCGCTGTGCATGCGCATTAGGTCCGGCATCATGAATAAGCAAAGGCGGAACCTGACCTAGCGCCGAGAGATATCGGCATTGGATTTAGGCAAGTGACAAAAAATTATTTTTAACCCTTTCTGTTCTGCGGGGATGGGGAGTGAGAGTGAAGAGGGTACAATTGGCTAGGAATTCAATTTTGTATTCTGAGCATATAGTTTCTTTTTAAGCAATGTGTTCTCTTTAAATACATCTCCATTACTAATTCAAACCTCCAACGCTCTTGAAAAAATAAAGAAGTCCCATTCTGTTTTATAGAATGCTCTCCATATACCAAAATGGAATTGTTCAGTAAATGACTTCACCTAATTTAAACACTCCCTTAATCTTAAAGTGCAAGGATGTTAAACTGCTAAAGAGATCTGTTCCTTTATCATGGGTATATGTAAGATTGACACAGATTTATTTTCTTTCACAAACTATTAGATCAGGAAAATGCTGTGTATGGGTGGCAGAGAGGGCCTTTATTACATCGTGAAGAAGACAGAGCTTGGTAACAACTGACCTTTTGTAATCCTTAGAAGGCCCTTGAAATGTCGGATCATTGTGTTAGCTCATTAAGTAAAATTATTAAAATATTTGGTTCAGTGCTATACAAAATAAAATTATCCAGCCTCAAAGAAATTTCCCAAATGTTTTCTACACAATTTCGACAATATTTTACTAATGTAGTATCCACGGAGTAACTAAATGACCTCCATTTGTTTAAATATACACAGGGATTTAGGAGAGAGCACAGGTCAATTTTTCTTTGGTTTTTACTGTATATATTGGGGCTGATGTGTACTGTGGTCGTTGTGCCGCCCAGGAGTGATGGGAGTTTGAGCGCAGGACTTTTCTTTTTGTATTTGAATTCACTTTTTGTATCACACAGCTTTGTTACAATGCTGCCGCCCATCCCATGTGTTCCCTATTAAGGGTTAATAAGTATATAGGGGTGTATATAAAAAATACCCCTCTCTGTCTCATTAGAGATAGCTTTGCCAGAAGCTTAAGGAAGCAAGGTGAAGGGTCAGTGTAGGACCCGTCTAGGGGGGTCTGTCTTGACGTCGGAAGGCGGGCATTCCTTCCAATGGCCATTGGAGTAACTAAATGACCTCCATTTGTTTAAATATATATAGAGATTTAGGAGAGAGTGCAGGTCACTTTTTCTTTGGTTTTTATAGTATCCACGGGGACAAAAAACTTTCTCATACACTAAATATGGTTCATACCATTTCAATAATGAAAATGATAACAGTATAAAAATGCCAGTGTGTTCAAATTAGATGCAACTGTCTTATTCCTTGAGACCTAGGGCAATGGTAGAATGGAAAAAAAAGAGGTGTGAATCAGCGCTATTAACTCTAAAACAATTTAGGCAGCAATGCTTTAAAAAGGGGAATCCCTCCTAACCTTTCAGAAGATAAAAGAGAAATATAGAAAACAAAAGCTGCGCCAAGTACAAGTATAAAATTAACAATACGTATAATAGTCCCAATAATAGTCCCCAAAATAGTCCTTAAAACATAAGTTAATACCTCTGTTTTCAGAGGTAGATGTTGTATAGGTAGGTATACTTTACAACTAGAGATGTCGTGAATTGTCCGCCGAACTGTTCGCGAACTGTCTGCCGGCGAACAATAGCGTGTTCGCGTTGGGCGAACATATCCGATTTCCGGTCCGCCCCCTATACGTCATCATTGAGTAAACTTTGACCCGGAACCTCACAACCAGCAGACACATTCCACCCAATCAGCAGCAGACCCTCCCTCCCAGGAAGTGTCTGCTGACTGTGAGGTTCCGGGTCAAAGTTTACTCAATGATGACGTATAGGGGGCGAACCGGAAATCGGATATGTTCGCCCAACGCGAACACGCTATTGTTCGCTGGCGGACAGTTCGCGAACAGTTCGGCGGACAGTTCGCGACATCTCTATTTACAACTGGGGTTGTCTTCTTGGTTCCTTTTAGATGTATATGGGAGACAAAAAATAAAAGGAAATCCAATGGTACAGTATATCAAGCAGGATAGGTGCAATAAAATAAATAATAAAATTCCCACTCACAATTTGTAGAGCTTAAGCCAGCTCTAGCGTGTAGCGCCTGAAGTGGTACAATCCCCACTCAAGGATATAACGTGAGTGTTCCTTAATGAGGAGATGGTATTAGGAGCTCAATGGGAAAAATATAAAAAGGCAACAATAGTGCTCTCGGTATAACCCACAGATAATTAAGAACTAAGATAAAATATATTCACGAAGGTGGAGCAGGCAAACTTCTCTTTGGTTACAGCGTTGGTGGAATAATCCCCACCTAGGATTTCTTTGGAGTAAAGATGTTTAAAATAGATGTAGCTAGGGAGTAGTTGAAAAGAGGTGATAATAAAGGTAATTGGCACAAATACAAGTGTCAAAAATTTAAATCCTTTACTAGTAAAATCAATTAATATTTTCAAATGGAATGTGACATACTACCTGGATAACAGGCTTTATATAGGAGTAAAATCAATTAAAATTGGCAACAAAATGTGTCCACCAATCAGAAACATGCATCTATATATAATAATAAAAATCATTAAATCAATATAATTTATTTCACTATAATACTTGGCAAGTAATTTATGTTTAAAATACTTTAAAAACGAGGGTGGAATAAAAAGAAAATTATTATGCTCCTGACGACGGCGTGCTGACACGCCGAAATGCGTGTCAAGCTATTTGTTGTTTATTATTTTTTCACCTTTATTCACCGAGTAGCACTATGCACTATTTTTAGTTAGTTTAGTGTGGTTTTTTTTATTTAGTGGAGGAAGGGACAGAGGTTCTGGTAGGCATTAGTTGATGTTCCACGGTGCCGAGGTACTTCATGGTCAGCCTGGTTTTTCTGTTTCTATTTGGCTTTGGGGATTTTTGCAGGAGGGGTGTTCTCTCCTACTTTTGCTTGTTTTTCCCCCATCCCTCTATATTACCTTGTTTAACCTTACCCCTCTGTGTAGGCAGGCAGGCATTATTGCAGTACTTCTGTAGTTTTATTAGCAGTTTAAATTCACCGACTATTTTCTGGACTAAGCCATATGGTTTGACATATATCTAGACATTTATGCAGCCTCTCTAGGTCTTGCCCTTCCTCCTTTTGGTATATGCATTTTTTATGGTTCTCCTTAGAATCATTAAAGGTAGGGCTTCCTTTTTCCTGTTATCCTCTCATTTGGACTTTTAGTCCGTATTTTTCTTTTTAAAAATAAAATTAGTAAGCACGTGACACGCGGCATTTCCACGTCATCGAACCTTAGCCTTATGGGAAATGTAGTTTCCGTCTACATGCTTATATGGCCACCCGCCGTCGGCTTGTGTGTATTATAAGCTGACATCAATGGAAATTACATTTCCCATAAGGCTAAGGTCCGATGACGCGGAAATGCCACGTGTCACATGCTTACTAATTTATTACTTTGTCACTATGGGGTTAAAATATTTTATTTTGCATCTTGTTATACGCCATAATATTACCTACAATGAATAATTATTTTATTTTAAAAATCCCCTTAATTTTTTTTTCTCTGATGTCCTGTATAGTTTGTTACTAATACTTAGAAAAAAAAATCTATGTTTTAGAGGGCAAGAATAGGATCCTATTAAATGAATAGCTGTGTCTCTCTATCTTGGTATCATTGAATTACAATGACAGATTCCATTCATTTGAAAGTAACCAGTGACAGATGTAACTATGTAACAACATTGCATTAATCCATGCTTAGAAGAGAACAGGGGTTTGCTACTAGATTTGCTATGCACTTTAGAACTTGGTGTCCAGAGAGGCTTTATCTGATGAAAGTTTCTGCTGCAGAAGCTATCAGCATATGCAATTTACAAAGGTCAGTCTTGATAAGCTTGCTATAGTGTGGAGTCTAGATAAAGCCTTGTAAGCTGCGATCTCATTCTTGTTAGCCAGCTGCCTACCATCAGGAAAGAACAGTTCATTAACTTTAAAATGCGTCAGGGAAAGATAAAATTGAACCATGGTGAGGATTTTCTGTAATATAAAATAATAAGCAATCAATTCCAAACTAAAGTAAAAAAACGAAAGACTGTATTATTAGTATTATTATAATTAACATTTTATCTACCAAATCATTTTTATTTTTTTAAGTTAGCATAGCGTTTGTTTGAAAATATGGATGAATAGGAGGTGCCTATAAATTTATAAATTGCTGTATACGAGATACAGGGTATACATTGCTGTACATAGATGCCTGCAATACGATACAGTATATAAATGTACATAATTTGAATTTGTTTAATTTTCCAAAATGAAATGGTGGTTACATTAATAAATTGAGGTTTTGTAGAGTCTTTTATCTTGCTGTACTTGAGGCAGGGTCTGAATTATTAGCACAAAGAAGAAATACAATTGTTCTTACATTATGTGTGGGAAAAAAAAATAGATAGATAAAAATAGCTATATACTCTGGTTGTGGATATTTTACCAAAGTTAAACGAACACTATAGGCACCAAAACAACTTAAGCTTAATAATGCAGTTTTGGTGTACATATTATGCTCCTGTAGTTTCACTGCTCAGTTCTCAGCCATTTAGGAGTTAAATCAGTTTATACATCCCTAATCACACCTCCCTGCATGTGACTTGCACAGCATTCTTAAACATTTCCTGTAAAATGACATCTAATGTTTAAACGTCCTTTATTGCACATTCTGTTTCATTAAAAATGTCTTATCCCCTGCTTTGTTAATAACCTTCTAGACCCTGCAGGAGCTTCCTGTCTTTGATTAAAGTTAATTTTGCAAAGCAGGACATACAAATATATAAAGCAAGTTAACATCTAATTGAAAATAGAACCATATTTTCATGCAGGCTGTGTGAGTCACAGCCACGGGAGGTGTGGCTTGGGTTCCACAAAGAGAAACAAAAGTGATTTAACTCCTAAAAACACATAATCTGAAGTGATAATCTCAGCCAATCACAATGCTTTCCCATAGGAAAGCATTGCATTAGCTGAAATGGTCAATTCTATTTCTGATGATCTCAATAAAGGAGGAGGGTCGGGGCTGAGCCAAATGCTGCCCTGGCCAATTAGCATCTCCACATAGAAATGCATGTGTCAATGCATTTCTATGAGGGGCGTTCAGTGTCTTCATGCAGAGAGTGGAGATACTGAATGTCAGTGCTGCACACTGTGCAGCACTGCCCCAGGAAGCACCTCTAGTAACCATCTAAGGATGGGCCACTGGAGGTGTCCCTAGGTTGTAATGTAAACACTGCCTTTTCTCTGAAACAAACAATGTTTACAACAAAAAGCCTACAAGGACTGCCTATACTGACCAGAAAAAAACTACATTAAGCGGCAGTTGTTCTGGTGACTATAGTGTCTCATTAAAGTTGTTTTGATGTATCCATTTAATGGTATTAGTGGTAATGCATGTAGTTCACAGAGTTTTCAATTCACTACAAGTCACTTACCAAACTCTAGTAAATACTAGAATATCCATACGAAGACCTGGAAGCAATCCTGATTGTGAAGCTTAGCGTAAAACCCCATTTCTTTTCACTTGCAGAACAAAGCCCAACAAAATGTGCTCCTTGTTTGAATCATACTCTTTATTTTACGAATGCAAATGTCAAATTGTAAATATATTTATGGGGTTCATTACTTCATACAGACAGGTGCAGATGAAATGTATTGTTCCTGTGGCTAGGAGAACTCTATTCACTAAAGAAGGTTTTTAATTACAGTAAACAAATAAGGCTTGTTTTCCATTTATGAATATTAAAGAGCTTGATGAACCCATTGTAGGCAGACAAAGTGTTTGTAGTCTGCCGTAACAGAAAAATCTGCTTATTTTGGGGATAAAATACTCCAAAGTATTGTTTTGCAAACTTCCTCCTCTGCAAATGTACTCTTAAAGGGAACCTGTCATTACAGTTTCACTTGAACTGATATTATCTTATACAATTAATATATCAACTGTCATAGTGAATACTATATATTTTACTGTGAATGACCTATCCTTTTTCAGCATGTGCAGACATAACTGCGGCTTTGTGGGTCTTACCAGTAGGATTGCATCTAGGGTTGCCCTACTTGAGAGACTTCTGCAACTGTTAGAATGAAGTGTCATCTGTCACTCCATTCCTATATGTCCCCAATGAGTATAAGGTGTGCATGAGAAATAAAACTGAGATTTAGAGCAGGCGACCTCCAAGTAGTAGGGTTCTCCTGTTCACTCCTGTCATTTACCTTGAAATCTAAGTCATTTGATAGTGTCTTTACCTCCTCTAAGTATACTAGGCAGTGAGTAAGAGCCATTTGCAAAGGCACAGGAAGGCATATTATGTAGACACACTGTTACTCCCATGACTCTTTGTGTGGGTAAGTACAACATTCAAAAGTTTTTCACTGCAATGGTAAGCATTCACTGAATTATACATTAAGCATGATCACACATTATGGCTGTCTAAAATATGCAGATTTTTATATATACCTCTGTAACCTTTTAACATCTAATTATATGTACACTCCATCTGACAGTTTAAAGATCCCAGATTCCAAAAACCATGGACTTTTAAGCAGAATTCTATAATAGTTTCTGGTTTTGTAAAAAGTGTGTTGTGGTTTACAGGAGGTTATAGGTAGAGTTAGGCTTTAGAGGGTTTTGATGTTAAAGGGTTTCAGGTTAGAATGGGGTTAAATCGGAGAGTTAGCAGGAGTTAAGAAGTTTTCTGGGTTATAGAGTGATTAAAGATAGGGTATCGGGATGTTAAGGATTAAAGGGGATAAGACTAGTGGGGTATAGGGATTGCTTAAAATTCCCTCACTCTCCAT